AGCTATTTCCCCCTCCCCCTTCCCGGGCTTTGCTTGGTTGCTGCTGCTGGGCCTTCACCCTGGGAGACGTCCGTGAGGAGAGCGGAGGGGTGGCGGGGCTGGGAGGCCCTTTTCGAGGATGATTTTCTTAGTCTTTAGACGTGGCCTGTGGGAAAACGCTCCCTGTCGGGCGCTGAGGTGCTGGAGTCGATGGGGCCATGGAGCCGTAATGTGGTGCCCCGGCGGCAGTGGGCTCAGGGCAAGGTGACTTAAGCAGTGGGAATAGGAACAAGTTCGTGGGCCATAAGTTTAACATCATTGGTAGCGAGTTACTGCTGGTTATCTTCTCGCAGAAAGTATCCGCTTTTCTTTATTTCTGCTTGGTTTCCTAGGCATATTTTTTGCAGGATTTTCTGCCGAGGGACGTAGTTACTTTAGCAAGCAGAAGCTGACGTTGGAATCTTATTTTAGTGATTTTTGCTCGGCTTTTTGCAGTCAGTTGTGCTTTCTGGGCACTGTGGGTAGATACGTTTGAATTAAAGGAATTGAACGTTTCCAGAGTAATGTATATTCACAAGTGTTACAGCTGCCTGTCACTGTACACAGAAGCTGAAGTGATCCCCATGTTGTCTATGAGATGATATGAGTCAGTCCTCAAAAAATAGCTCATTTAAGAAGTAAAAAAAAAAAGGTTAGGTGTAGAAGATTGCTGTTTGGTGCAGATAATAGCAGTGTTATAAAACAGGTGAAGAAGGATCACTGTGGTGTTGTGGTTTGGTTTACATTGTTTTGGATTTCTAAGTAATAAAATTTTTGTAAAGCTATTTGCAGGTTAAATGTCCATAAAATGTCTTTTGGTGAGAGTGATGAAAGTTTGCTGTCTCTAATATTTATTGTGAAATTAGTTCACATGGAAAATTGCCACTAGATCTTGTTAGAACTGATAAGTAAAATTATTTCTGGTGCTTGATTCTTAGCTATTAGAAGAAGACTGGTGGGATAGGATGCAGTCAGGTTGTGTTGAAACAGATGTGAGCTGCCACCCTGCATGAGCAGTGAAATTGAAACATTTACTGTTGTCATCTATCAGTTTCTGCTCAAATAATCATTTATCCAGAATTCAAGAATTATCTTGAATTTTTTTATTCATTGAGGTTTTTTTGGTTTTGCTTTTTTTTTTTTTTTGATCACTGGCAGTGGTCAAGCCATGAGTAGCAAACAAGACATATTTTTATGTTTTGTATTTTAACTTAATTTTCTGTCATGAAAAGAATGATTCTGTCTGAATAACAGGTGTTAATGCACATTTATTTGTAACTGAATTTATTTCTACTGTAAATGCAACGTTATTTTTATGCTCCTTTTGGAAGAGAAATGCTGTTTCACTGCTTTAAAAAAGTGGAAATAAATCTTGTATACCCTTTTAGTTTGAAATTGCCTGGTCTTATCTCCTCTGTTTGCCAAATCAGATTTTTGCTTGGACCCTTCCTTGAATAGATCTAATGCTCATGGCCAACAGAGGAAAAATGGCCTCCCCAGGTTACTTTCCTGCTGTTTCAGGTGAGTTAAATTTGTTCATGGAAGGATCCAACACACCCCAGAATCAACAAAAGATGAGTTGCGGGAGAGCCCACTTGGGAGTGTCTGTAATGAAAAGGACTTATTTGGACCTTCCCCCTTCAGCAGTGATGAACTGTAAGAAATTTGTCCTCTACTATTTTTCTGTTTCTTTTTTTGTGCTTTTCCTGGTGCTTATCTTGATCTGTTTGAGGTAATTTAGCTCACCATGTTGAACGCTTAACAGTGACAGTTCAGTGAGTGGAATCATCTTGTGGAAGTCGGTTGAGCAGTATACTCGATGCAAATGAGAGATGGCATCTGTGTGTTCAGATTGCCCTTTTTGCATCACAAGGCTGCTAAATAAATCTGAAAATTTATTTTTAAATAAATCAGATAGATGTATCTACAGAAGGGGTTGGGGGGAAACTCATCCTACTCCTGTCTTTTGTGTACTTATGCAATTATACATCAGGCCCACCTAACCCAGAAGGGATTTATCAGAGAGTGTGTGTCAGACTTGCTTATTCCATTAAATTTTCCTTATCTTCTAATCTATTTCTAAACCAGCTTATACTTGAGTCTTTTAGCACCTCTGAATGCTACTGCAGTAGCTAAGTTAAATGTAATTTACTCAAGTATGCTGTTGCCTCACCAAAAGGGAAAAAAGTTCCCAAGAGAATTATGATGCAGCTTCATGTTATATTTAAATGCCCTCTGAACTATAAACTGCCAGGGAAAGGCTTGACACTCCTCTCTCTGCACTGCTTACTTTGCATCAACTACAGCAGTTATGCCATTCAGGGACCACTTCTGCATTCCCGTACCACAGAAAGTGTGGAGAAGTGCCAGCAGGAAAGCTAGCAGACATTCTGGTTTCCGATTCAGTAGTATATAGTAGAGATACAATTATAATACTAACTTTTTTTTCTGGTGTGGGCTGTGTCTTTTTTTTAATATCAAGCTGTAAAACTTCTGTTATGGCGCAGATCAATATTTTGAGATAGGCAAGTTGTCAAACTCTGGAGGACTTCATTTACTGCCTTATCCCAATTTTGTCCAGTACAGAAGTCCTTACCTGCTGCTTTATAACGTTGTACAATGCATCTTCTACAGATACTGTTAACTACCTGAATCCTTGGAGTTTGCTCTGCTTTTCTTTTCCTGAACAGAGAAAATAGAATCAATCACAGTAATATAAAGTGGAAAGATCTAAGAATTCCAGAGATGAGGATAAGAAAGATGAGATTCCAAAATTGATACCTTTTCTATTATTTTTCACTTTGCATGCTTAGGTTTGGTTCACTCTTTTTTTTAAAGTCCATGGAATATAGATCTGATGCCTTAAAGCTGGTGAATCCTTCTTCTACCAGAATCGCCATATATCCACTTTAGTTTAAGGCAAGGTGAAACAGAGTTGGAAACAGTGACAAATTTTAAAAGTTGTGTGATGAAGTGTGATTGTTTACTGCTTCTAGCATGAATTTCCTTAAACTTTTGCCCTTATGATCAAGGTGAATTATTTGTAGCTTGTTTTTTGAGAGCAGCTCGGAATTATGCAGCAAATAAGTACTACTTTTACCTTCTTCAGTGGGGTCAGCTAGTTTATGTTAACTTGCCCTGTTGTGTTTTTTCTACATGTAGGCAAACCACAAAATTCATTCTCTTAACATAGCAACAACAAAAATAGCAGGCAGGAGTGGAGATAATTTAAGGTGCAAGTTCTTCAGGATTTTGAGAGGAGATGTCCCTCCTCTTTGCTTTTGGAACTTGGACTATCTCCCAGTCTCCTTTTTCTCAAATTTTTGTACAGGTTTTTTGTTAAGCTTTCATTTGTAGGTCAGCTTTCCTGCAAAGCTTGTGTGACATGAGGAGCTAACTTGGACCTTATTCAGAGGCCTAAATGTATCCTGTGACGTATTTTAATTCTTTTATTGGCTTTGCTTGATCCTTCCAACTGAAATTGTGGAAATTAATCAAGAAGGTGTTAATTTTTGCCTTGTGGCAGATCTGTAACCTTAAAGGAAATGTTTGGGTTTATAAATACTAGTTCTACTAGTTTACATATCCAGACTTTTTATAGTTGTTTTTAACTTTGCAGATGGTGAACTGAACGTTCTGGATGACATTTTGACTGATGCTCCTGACCAAGATGATGAGTTGTATAACCCTGACAGCGAGCAAGATAAAAGCGAGAAGAAGGGTAGGTGACTTCGGTAGTGTATGTCCTGCAGGATCGTAAATGGTAAAAACAGTCTTTCCTGATAGGATTAGTGTCTTTTATATTCTGATTTGAAGAGTGAAAGAGTTCCAAAAGTCTATATTGCTTGGACATCTGCTCTTTTACTTGACCTTCCAAGCAAACAGTTAACTAGGTTTCCTTTTGTCTCAAAAGCAATTGCTGAGTCTGGCTTGTTGTGACTTCATTTGCTATTAGAAAACGTCTGTCCTTTTTGGTTCGATGAAGTGAAATGGAAATGGAGCAAGGGAGTCCCAAAGTCTGGTTCCAGCTCAATTCTTAATTTGTCTTTAGGCTAATCCCATAAGATTTTAATTTAGCATTTCCATATATAAAATTTAGAAAGCACCTACCAAAGATTAAAGGATTGCTCTTTTAAATTAAATATATGATGTGGAATATGAGCTGTTCCTAACAAGCAGTTTTGAGTATTATTGCAAAGCCTACAGCTGGAAGATGCTACCTATGACTGCAAACAGGGGAATTGCCCAAAGTAGAGAAAACTCTGCACAGTTTTTGGTTTAATGTACAAAATGAAACTGAACTTGATATTTCTTTCTATTTAAGGATCAAAAAGAAAAACTGACAGGATGGAAAACACTGAAAGCAAGAGACAAAAACCTTCTGTGCATTCGTCGAGGCAGATGATGCCAAAGCCTCCTAGCTCATCAGTTAGCAATAACAAGAGAATAGTGAGTACAAAAGGAAAACCGGTGTCAGAATACAAGAATGAGGAGTATCAGAGGTCTGATAGAAACAAGCGCCCAGATGGTGATCGAAAGATACGTATGTCGAGCAGTTCCAGGGAACCTTATAAAGGACAACCAGAAAAAACTTGCATGAGGAAGAGGGATATTGACAGAAGGGCAAAATCTTCTACACCAGATGGTTCAGAGGTATTAAATATTCTTGCTGCCTTATAAATAAAGCACTTGTATGAGACTTTTATAAGGCACGTTCTCTTAGGACTTTGTGTGCATCCTGACAATGTTATATGACTGCTGATTCACTTTTTCTTTGAACATCAGAGAATCAGGCATGATGTGGATAGAAGACCAAGCAGATCCAGCCATTCTTCTAAAGAAGAGGTGAACTCTGAGGAATATTGTTCAGATCATGAGACTGGCAGTAGTGGTTCTTCTGAACAAGGCAATACAGAGAACGAGGAGGAAGGAATGGAAGAAGAGGAAGATGATGAAGGGGAGGAGGATGAAGAGGTAGAAGAAGATGGGGAGGAGGATGAAGAAGAGTATGAACAGGATGAGAGAGATCAGAAGGAAGGAAATGACTATGACACACGAAGTGAAGCCAGCGATTCTGATTCTGAATCTGCCTCTTTCACAGATGGGTCAGTCAGATCTGGGTCTGGTTCAGATGCATCAGGTAGGTAACATCTAGCATGCTAATCTGAAATAGCTTGCCATTGAAAGTTTGGCTGTTTTTAAAAATAACCACTTCCTGACTATGTCAAAAGTAAGCCTTAGTAGCACAAGCCAGGAAGATGTCAATTATGAAATAGCATAGGCAAGGAAAAAATGTACTGGAAAGCGGTATTTCCTTACACCAGAACTTCTGAATATCAGGATTACCATGCCGAGGATTCAGTGTTCTTGATTGCTTTGGCCTTGCTGCTCAATGCTTTGAAACATTAGAATTAGTATTTTCTTAGGTATCTAATGGCTTAGTTTCCCATGATGCATTTTAAGTTGGTGTTGACCTGTTCTGTATTCATCTAGATGAGTGACCAGGTAGTCTGGTGTAGTAAAAGCATCATCTCCCCAGGGAAGGATAGTTGAATCTTAAATAGTTGCTGCCTTCAGCATAGGAAATCTAAACCTACGTTCAAATTATTAGCTATTAGGGCAAACTCAGAAAGAGAGAAATGTTTTAAGCAGAAACTAGAAACAAATGCTTTGCCAGATATATATTATAACTGCTCCTAACTTACAGTTAAAGTAAGTTAGTTTAACATCAAAGTTAGTTTAACAGTAAAGTGTTAATGACATAAATACTTTTGGGTTTGGCTGTTTGTTGTTTTGAATTTTTTTTTTTAATTATTCATTTTACTTTTAAGAAAGAGGCTTGCAGTCCTGTTAAGATTCCTCTTGTGTATCTTCCTTGTCTGAAGTCTTCATAGGTGGTCATCCTGGCATTAACATAATGCCTTTTTTGGCTCAGCTCTGCTGTTTGGAATTAGAGAACAGAAAGGTGTAACCTAAAGACAAGAGAAGGTGTAATAACGGTTCTAAAAAGCTCCATAGTATAACATAACACTTTTAGGAGTGGAAATAGTTGCCTGTGTGCCACAGTGTTTTGTTTTAACACCTCTTGCCATTTTGTTGACCTCTGAGCAAATGAGCCCATATCACTGTCGCAACATAGTTCGTGCTCTGTGTTGCAAATTTGGCTGAAGGCTGGATAGAAGAGCTAAATCACCCTTACTAAAACACCTAGGAGATAAATTCTGTCTCTAAACTTTGCACAGAATTACGAGATTTGTGGCATTTGTCTTCCTCTTGTGAATGAAAAGCTTGAGTAGTCAGTATTTGCATCTTTTGTGCGTGATAGTTTGGGGGCAGCAATCACAATTTTCATGTGCAAGCCAAATGCTAACTTCACTATTACAGATGTTATTTTCCTGTCCCAGTACATTTTATCTCAATTCTGCCTGCCACTTGATGTTTAAAATACTGTTTTTATTTGTTACGTGTTCTTTCAGATGAGAAAAAGAAGGAGAGGAAGAGAGCTAGAGGTATCTCTCCGATTGTTTTTGACAGAAGTGGAAGTTCTGCATCAGAATCGTATGCAGGTATTCTTTCCTTTTATTGCTTGTTATCATGACTTGCATCAAATCTTAATGTGTAATCTAAAATAAATGTAACTGGCTGTAGAGATTTATGGGGTATGTAGCTTTGTTTAATTTAGTATTGACTTCTGGCATGTTGTGTGTGGATACCTTTGGGGGGAAAGTAGGCTTTCTTGTTACTTTAATGCTATTCTGTTGCTTAAGTGGAATTTTCACTTTTTTTTTAAACTTGGAAGATGATGATTCAGTGACTAGTTTTCTGAGTAGGAAATTGTTCAAATACTATTTAAAAAAAAAACAAACCCAAACCAAACAACCCAAAAACAAAATCAAAACAAAACAAAACAAAACACTCGTGCACATTGAATAGTATTTTTTGTGTGTGTGGGTGCGCGCCAGAAAGCATAATTTGTCATGAATGAAAATTGTATGTGACAAGGCTGTAGAAATTGTATATTATCTCTATTAAGGCTCAATCTGAACAAATGTACTTTGGCTAAACACAGGTTCAGAAAAGAAGCATGAGAAATTATCATCTTCCGTTCGTGCTGTCCAAAAAGGTATCATTTAAATTTGAATTTTTAATGCATGCCCCATAGCAAGCCATTGTCTCTGTTTATTAAATTAGCTGTAAGTAGTAATGTTCCGATATAAATCACTTTGAGCACATCATTGTTCTGAGCATAACAAGTGAATCTTGAGCTACCTTTGCATGTGTTGAGAGCAATACGCAAAAAGTTCAGTCACTTTGCTCCTTGCAGAGGCAGCAAAGCAAAAAATAAAGTGCTTGCATCTGAAAAGAGGAACATTTCAGCATTCTCTGGTGGATGACTGATGCTGATATGAATGTTACCCAGTGTTTATCCAAAGATTCTTATGCAAGGAAATAAGTCCTGTATATCGGAACATCACTGAATCATGCTGATTTTATTTTATTTTTTCTTTACCTGAATATCTAAGTGTTAGTTTGGTTTGGTTTCCCCTGGCATTTTGTGTTTTACAGCTTGGACTTCAAGTTTCAAGTTGGGTGGTTGACTGTGATTAATACATAGGTAGGAACTGGGTGGGATACAGTGTCTGTTGAAGGAAATAAACAACTATCTACACTCAAAGCAACATTTTTGGCAACTGTAAATATTTACAGTTTACCTTATTTGACACTTTGTTTTTTCAGACCAAACAAGTAAACTTAAATACATTCTCCAAGATGCAAGATTCTTTCTCATCAAGAGTAATAACCATGAAAATGTATCACTTGCTAAAGCAAAGGTATGTTGAATTTTCTTCCGACTGATCACTTTGTTTTCAAACATGCCAACCTTACATATGGAAAAACATATGGATAGATGCATTCTTTTCTCTATCACTCAGATCTTGGTAGAGGCACGGATGAAAGCTACTGCTCCTTGATTCTTCAAGGGTAGCTGTTCTGTTTCCACTGTAACCTAGAAAAGTCTAGACCATTGGTCATTTATAAGAATAGGGTTAAAAGGGGGCCTCACAGTCTGTTTGATAATGTCTGAAGCCAACCTCCATTGGGAATGCTTGATGGTATTTTCTCCCCTTCATCAGCACCTATGTTCATATCGCTGTACTGTGAAGAGGTTCAGACAATTGTTTTGGCTTTCATCTTGTGCTATAAAAGTAATTTTTTTCAGTTGATTCAGGGATCTGAAGCCTTATTGCAGAAACATATGCCTGGCAGTGCCGGTGTAAGGGAATTCTTTGGGAGCGATTCCAGTGCGCTGGACTTCAGCTGCTCAGGAAGCACTAGGCCACTCTGGTGGTTTTGTATTTGCATGTGTTATTTGCAACAGTTTGTATAGAAAATAGCTGATCTGCTGTTACACAATATACACAGAGCAGGTGATTCTATTAATGAAGATTTTCTAAAATAGAATAGCATTAAAACAATTAAATGAATCTTAAAATTCCTGGACAGGTTTGCCTCTCCGTGCCCCCAGCTTTGGGTCTGATCTGTGCAGTGAATACCATACTGACTGGTGTTTGCTTAAGCTCTTTAGAGGAGTATATCCTTTCTGTAATTCATGGATACTTGGGGCTGCAACAGTGTCCTTGTTTCTGAAGTTATTGGAGTGGATGATTTTTCTGTTGGTGTATAGGCATCAGTGCTTTGCCACTGTACTTCCATGAAACTGGCTTTTGTGGTGCCAATGTAATAAGTTATTCTAGCTCACAGCAGGGCTTCACAAGCAGCCTAAAGCAATATACATCTGACCGAAAGCTAGTAAAAAACACAAGTAGTTCCCTGATGACTCTAATGAGCTCTCAGAGTCAGGCAAGCACTAATCTGAGCACAAAGTAGGCCATGAGAACAGATCTTCGATAAAAAAGGAAAATGAGGAACATTTTCGTTAGTAGATCCTAGATCGTATTTTGAGACTGAAGTTTGAGCATATTAAACCGGCATAAACTTCTTCTCTGAGTTTGTCCAGAGAATGGACTGGGGAGCTGATCTTGCTGAGAAGTAATACAGCAAACTGGTATTCTATAGCTCAGCTCAGTTGGTGCCTTAAAACACATTGGGTTTTATTGTGCATTGCTACACGATGGCTGGTGAAAGGGAAAAGGTAGGAATTAGTAGGTGGGTATGTGGAAGGCTGAACAAACTGTTTTGAGTTGTCTTGCCAATTTTAAATGTTGGTCTGGTGTCTTTCATGTGTCTGATCTTTCACTAAAAGAGCTCTAAAGTCTGCAACCTGTCCTCAACAAATCTGTCATCCTAAGAAGGTTACTGAAGTCTACCTGCCCACCTTTCAGTATATATGCTGATGGGTTTTCATAATTTGTTTGTATTATATAATACATGAACTCCCTAAGTCACTTAAAACATACATTAAAAATACTAAAGGCAAAGGTTTTAATGTATCTGTCCATCGTTACAATCTTAAATGAAACGTATAGATGGCCTAAATGCATCTGCAGTGTTCAAAAAAAAATTTTTGAAAAGCCAGTGTTTTAAAAGTTTTATCATGGGGCAGGCTAAAAATATTTTCTGAAGGAACTGAATTTAGCAATACCTTTCTCTTTCCATTATCTTCTATCCCAGAACACTAGTTTGGTCTTGTTTTCCTCATCTGCACTATATACTTCTGTTAGCTAAATCACTCGAGATGAACTCTTATATTTTGGTGGTGGGGGTTGTTTTGTTTTAGGGAGTGTGGTCGACACTTCCAGTGAATGAAAAGAAGCTTAATGCTGCATTTAGATCAGCGAGGAGTGTTATTTTGATATTTTCTGTAAGAGAGAGTGGCAAATTCCAAGGTAAGGGAAAGTGAGCTGTTATCAAGGTAAGTGAAAGTGAGTTTTAGGTGCAATAGCTTTTCTGTTGTGTCTTTGTTACAATTCATGTGAAATCCTTTAGGATTTGCAAGACTGTCTTCAGAGTCCCATCATGGAGGATCACCTATACACTGGGTGCTGCCTGCAGGAATGAATGCAAAAATGTTGGGAGGTGTCTTTAAAATTGACTGGATTTGCAGGTAAATAATTGCTAATTTATGTTGCTGTTCAGTAACAAGTCATTATAATACCATTTTTGCATATTACTCTCTTGAGTGCTGACAGCATCCTTTTGAAAACTCGATTCAACCAGAGATCTGTCCTCCAGTCTTCCTGAACCCATGCCTCCCTGTTAGTGAGCTTGGGACTCACATCTGTACCTGACATGCACTGTAGAATCTTTTTTTTTTTTTCTTCTATGTAGACAATTAATTAATTTAGGTATTTTTAACACTTAATGGTGTTCCTTCACTGATCTTTTGCACTGAAACTGGAAAACTACATTCTGAAGTCTTTGAGTAAAAACAACTGCTCACTTGAATGGACAGCTGTGGGTAAAAGGGAAAAAAGATCCTGTAAGGACAGGTCTGTCTTCATCTGACATCTTGGCATCTGACTGAATGAAGAAGATGCTACTGCTCTAAAATAACACTGAAATAGTACAGATATTTTGCATAATGTATAGATTGTGAGCAGTATGTTCATTTATTTAACCAAATATGTATTACAGGAAAGGATTTAAATCTCTCTTAAGAAAAAGAGCTATATCTGTCCTGTGAGAGAGATTGCATGGCTGTACAAGCACTTTAGACTACCAGAAAGACTAAACACAGGGAAGGTGAGACTTCAAATTAGAGGAAAATCTAGGTTGGAAAGGTCCTGTGAAAGTTACTGACTCCCACCTCCAGCTCAAAGCAGTTCTAGCTTCATAGTTAGGTCAGATGCTCAGGGACTTATTTCAGTAGGTACCATGAGCTACCACCTCACATAGAGACTGGTCAGCATATTCAGATGGTGGGATGATAAGGAAGCATGATCTTGATATTATACAGAGGCAATTTTTTTTTTTTTAGTAAGATAGACTGTCATAGTACGGACTATACTTAATACTGGAATAAGTCAAAGCAACATCTTCAGTTACTAATACTTAATATGTACTAGTACAATCAGTGAGAGACCTGACAGTGCAGAGGGTAACAGGATTATTTTGTATATGAAGTCCTGCTGTATGCATTTTAAAATTTTTTTTTTTACAAAAAATGGAGGCGAAACTATAAATGATGCCACTTGCATATTTAGGCGTGAATTGCCGTTCACTAAGTCTGCTCACCTGACCAATCCTTGGAACGAACATAAGCCAGTAAAGATTGGACGCGATGGACAGGTTTGTTAATTTTTTTTTTTCTATAACCCATATCTTCTAGTGCTTGCTTTCAGCTTTGTATGTACAGAAGATTTGGAATCTTTTTAGATCATTTGTTACTTGCAGTAGAGTACCGTGACAAAAGCACTCATCTTATTTCTAATGTTGTTGTGGAAGAAGGAAACAGAAAACAATACAGTGCCAATTCTGTTGTATTTGTGATAAACAGTGTTTGATGCTTCAAAATGACGTGATATTTTGGATTTGAAATGTAACGTGTCTTGTGTTGTATGGTGTGCAAACCTATATAGCATCAGTTTTTAAGAACAAGTTCTGGTGTTTCCAGCTGTGTTCTGAGTTGCATTTTTTTTTATATATACTGTATTGCTTAGGGCATAGATTCTACCATTATAAATTATATGCTAAGTAAATTTTAAGTGGGGTGGCTCTTCATCTTGTCAGACTTACCAAAGTGCAGGTATGTTGCTGCTGTCATGCAGTGACCCAGCCTTGACTAAAATAATGGGCTCTGCTTTCTTCAGGCAAGATGGGAGTTGCATGATCCCCATACTGTGTGGAAAATGTAGACTCTGTGCGTTATTTCGCCCATAGACGTGTTCACTTTGTTGGGAAGCAGAAGTAAAACAATATTTACAGTCTTGTTTTTAATTTAGTGTGTACTTAAAAAAAAAAAATCATTTAAGTTTGTTTCTGTTAAATGGTTGAGGAAATAAATTTTTTTTAATGTTTTGTCCACCTCTCTATATTATAGAGTTGCAATCCAGATGTGGGTTTCATCTTTTTTCATAAAATTGCTGTACTGTTAGGTACTGGGCAAGCATTATCTGGTGCTTGCTCTCCCTGCTTTTCAACTTGGGTTATTTCCTCAAGTGGTGGTTGTTTATCCATTTACATTTTGTGTAACCCTGAATGGATCTGTCTTCTGATGACATGTGCACTGAGCTTGTTGCATTTACAACAACCTTTGGGAAGGCATTCACCAGGTTGAAGCAGCACTTTTTTGGATTGTTTGCACCTGGATCCTGCTAGCTTCATTTGATGGCCCTGAGTTCTTGTACTGGAAGAGGGACTCAACAAGTTGATCTCTGTCCCTCTCTCCTCCAAACAACTCGTGGTGTCAGACGCTCCCGTTGTATCTGTCTTGTCGCCCATACCCCACATACTAGGCTGGAGAGACCTGACTTACTCAGTCATTGCATGTAGAAATTGTTGTGCTCATTCAGTTATCTTTGTTGCCCTGCTTTGAAGCTTTTCCATTTCTGCTGTCCCCGTACTTTTTGAGATGCAGGAGTCAGAACTGCACTCTTAAATACTTTTAAGGTGTGAGTGGAACATGGACTTTCAGTGTGGAATAATGACTCTCTCATTCTGTGTTCCTTTCCAATAATCCTGAACACGCAATGTGCTTGTTTTGACTGCTGCCAAGCATTGAGCTGGTATTTTCACGGACCTGTCTAACATACACTGAAGAACTCACTTTTGAGTGGTAATAGTCAACTTTGTCAGGCCATGGCTTTATATGTGAAGCTGGGATGGATTTTTTTCCTACGTGTGTCACTTCTCTCTCTGTAATAGGTGATCATTTTCTTTGTGATGAAAAGCAGTCCTCTGATTTTGTAGCAAAACAGTGGTGTGGCCTGTATGTCTCATGGGAAGATATGGTTGCCCCAAGTGTTGGACTATATTATGAAAATTCTAAGTAGTGCCTAAAGAGTGAAAGGTAATGTAAGTGAATTTTGCTCTGTCTTTAGTGATACTAAAATCTCTTCGCAGTGTCTTTCTTTTTTTAATGTGTTGTCAATGTATATGGGGAGAGTTTCATTTCTTCAGTTTATAAACCACTACTGAACTTCTAACTAATTCTAGGAAATTGAGCCGGAATGTGGAACCCAACTTTGTCTTCTCTTCCCTCCTGATGAAAGTATTGACTTGTATCAAGTCATTCATAAAATGAGGCACAAGAGAAGAATGCACTCACAACCCCGATCAAGAGGACGCCCATCCCGTCGAGACCCCGTTCGGGACGTGGGAAGGTTAGAAACGTTCTTTGGACTGATAATAGGCACATGTATCAGAATAACGTGATGGAGGAATGTGATTCGTCAAAGCTTTCCCTGCGATAAAGAAGAGAGAAAATCCTCAAATCAAGCTGCATGGACAAGTTTGTGGCTTCATTGAGGATTTCACATGGTTCCCCGGTCTGTCATTTTTCAAGAGGAAAAAGGGGATCTTTGCTTTTGCAGAAAAAAGCTCTTAAGTGTGCTGTCTAGTTTAGACTAGATCCACTTATTGAGATAATGCATCGTGTAATGCTAGCTGTAGGTAAGCTTGGCTTGATTACGAGCAGGCTAGATGGAGAGAAGGAAAAATTTATATGCCAAAAATGTGTTAATATCTTGTAAAAGCCTTTTCTTTCAGGTGTGTCTCTGGATAAGCCTTATCAAATATGGGACTTTTATAAGGATCACTTAGAATTTTGCAGAAGATGCCGCCTCATTTTGAGGATAAAATATTTAAGTTGTTTTGATATTCAAGAGGAGCATTATTGGGACTGTTTCAAATTGTGTCACCGTGATGTGTTAACCCCATTGCCAAATATTCTCTAACATGTAACCACTGAATTCACACATCTTGCTGAGCTTCTGAAAACAATAGGTTCTTTACAAAAGGCATCAAGTGGCCCTTGGAGACCCGGCAACAAACCAAAAAGAATGGCTGTTGCTGTGTCTGTATATACAACCTTTCCAGATGCTGGCAGTACCTGTGGACTTAAAGTATTTTTAGAGGATCGACATGGTTATTGATCACTGCTATATGAACTTAACATCATTTTCCAGAAAAAAAGGGGGTATAACTTGTTACAGAATTGGAGAAGTCTTTGCAAAGAACTGATATTAGCCCTTCTGCCAAACACCTTTTCCCCGTGTAGCCACTTTGCATACAGACTGATGTATGGTTTGGGCTGAAACCTTTGGTTAAGTTTCCTTTTCGTGGAAACATCCTGTGGTAGGTACAGATACCCAACAAGAGTCCCCATTTCCTTGAGCATAAAAAAAGGACACTGTAACAAGTAGGTAGGAGGAAACCTGGCAGCGCCCCCCTATTTTTGGCTTTAAAGGACTGAACACCAAGATGGCTTTTGAAGTTAAGCTAAGAGGTTTCCAGTGCAATAAAGTATATACGAGTGAAGGTTTTGCAATGGACTGCAAACTATACATATAACACCACCACACCTTCTCAAGCCTGCCAGGGCCTCCATTTATGTATGTGGCTTACAGCTTAAAGTCAGTAGTTGGACTACTATATGAACTGTTTCTATCATATTTTATACCGGTCGTAAATGCACTCTCAAAACTACAAGAAAGCGGTATGTTTATTCTTTACACCAGCTTTTATTTTCCTTGATCTGATTTTGCTGTAGATGCAACTGCTTTGGTTTTTGGGCTTTTTGCGCATAGTGAAGAATCTGCTTTCATTTTAGAAAGCTTAGTAACTGGGTATGGTGGGCTTTAAAGAGTGAAGTTGGGAAGGGGGAGGAGAAATGACACTATAAAAAGCTACATGAGCTTGTTACTCAGTGAGCAAGTTGCACAGTAATTAAGCGATTTAAGAAAGTATTTCTTGTCTTGCCATAAGGAATTATATTGCTGGGGTGGGGGGGGAGAAGGGAATGGATTTGTAGCTGCTTTGTGTTTAGCAACATTGTTATGTTAGCAATGGAGTCTCCCCTTAGTGTTTGTGTACCTTGGTGGAGCAAAGTTAGCAGCCAGTTTTCAGTTCTTTGTTAAACGTAATTGCAACTGGAATGTAACTTGTAATCAAACTTCCTCCCTGGAAGCAAAGTTCATAAAGATAACGTCTTTTCTGTAAAAGAGCTGTTTGTATAGAAAGGAGCCCCAATTATTTTACTTACAAAGAAGCTTAAGCATTCTTAAACTTTCTGTAAAAGACACCAGTGCATTGCATTGCTGGTAAATTGCTTAGAAATTGTTAGAAATAATATCATTGGCTTACCCAGCTAGATCTACAGTGAACGAAGCAATTTCACAAAGCATGCAGTTTTATTTATAAATGTTATGGAAATAGACCTTTTATAGAATTCTTCACCCCATAGCTATCAAATACAGCAATGTCCATGCCTTCTGACTGTAATGATACATTTTGCCATCTATTTTCACTGTATTTAGTTTTGTAAATTCTTCTGTTACCCAATAGGCTGTTTCAAAATGTGATGTGGAAAGTGTAATGTTAAAGCCTAAGTCTGAGTTTGTTTTAGACAAATTTGTTACACTTTTGGTACAAAGGTACAGTTGGGTAGAGTTCCTTCCTTAACTACCGAAGCTCCTATAGCCAGCACGTAACAGTGGAGGGTATTTAATCGGACTGTTATTCCTGATTACTTGAGTTCAAATTTAAAAATGTAGAACATTTTGAAGCAGATGGAATTCGGAGTGGTTAAATTGAGATCCCAGGCAACTGAAGCTATTCCTCTGAGGTATTCTGCTGTGACGAATGCTCCAAGCAACCTTGTTTAATCTTTGATATCTAATTTGTGTAGGCGTCGACCAGAAGATTATGATATTCATAACAGCAGAAAGAAACCAAGGATTGACTATCCCCCTGAGTTTCACCAAAGACCAGGTTAATATCTTACTATGAAGATTTCTGTGCACCAATTCACAAGTGTTTTCTCTTTTAGTGTATCCTCATTAATTCAAAAGTAAAATACTGATATGACTGGGATATAAAAATGGGATTTGTCCCAAGTGCTGCCTGCTGATTTAACCCACCTCTTGCAGAAGTCAGTGACACTGATTCACTGATTTGGGAGAGAGCTGAGTTAATCTAGACTGGGCCCTTTTAAGAGCCTCCGAATTGTGTAAGTTGTTGTGAATGACCCTCTCAAGCACTTCATTAAACACGGGCAACAAGAATTGGTTTGACCTGCTTGTCAGTGCACTGTCAAAATGTTCATCAGAGATTTCCAGCTGGGGAAGTCAGCTGAGATTGCCTGACTAACAGCCTGTGTTTAGAGGTGACAATAGATACTCAGTTATGCTTTCAGAGAGAATTTTTTTACAAAGTTGACATGAGGAAGGAAGAGGCAAGTTTCATTGCATTTTACAAGAGAGTCTAATGATGAGTTTGAGAAAGGAATGTTGTTGATCTTCAGGAATAAATGTTTGCAGCAATAATGCAGCAACAACACTGGTAATACTGCAGATTTTTTTTTTCTTCAGAAAGCAGTTATTAAGAAGTTGTCACTTTTAATCTACTGAATCTTGCTTCACTGCTCTTAGGAATACGTATTCCATTATTTCAGTAGTAGATTTCTAAATCTTTCTTAAGAACCTGCCTTTATCTGTCCAGCATGACTCCAAAGCCTGTATTCTTTGATGCAAAAAGAGTGTTGTTGCTGCTTGGTGGCTTTCCAAAAGCATTGTTGAGAGTACAGAATTTTTTTTAAATAATGAAGCTTGGAAGCATTATTTTATTAGCATAAGCATGCCTGGTGGGTGGTTTTTATTTTTTTTTTCCGTCCATTTTACTGAGCTCTTTAAAGTTTACTTCTGGGGATTTACTGAAGCTGTAAGAATTCTTTGCCCTGTGGGGCTTTTCCAGATATTTATTAGGTTGCTTTTAATTTTCTGTGTAACATTGTATCTGAAATCTAGTAGGCAAGCAGCAAACTAAGAGTTGCCCAGATGAACACATTCTACTGAATACAAAGTTACTAAGTAGTAACAAGCGACGTTCTTACTGCGAGGGGGAGTATGCTTCACATTTGTGGGCATTCCCAATTTGTTTGACTAAAATTCAAGTCTTTATTTGCACAGATACCCCCTTGCACATTTGTTTGTACTGTGTGCAAGTTCCTATGGGTATATCTGTATTATTTTTTTATTACTATATTTTTTGTAGTGTCCACAAGTTGTATGTTTTGGAGAGTTGTTTTGAAAGCAAGGATAATGGCAGGCAGACACAACTTCATAGCTGGCACAAAATGAAAGAACAGTTTCTAATGAGTGTATTTTTTAAGACTGTTAACTTGAGATGGTAAACTGAATTAATACTGCTTGATGTTCGAACAGGGTATATAAAGGATCCCAGATATCCCGAAGTAGACAGGTAAGGTGTGTTCATGTTACTCATTTTATGCCCTGGTAATTTGTCTGTATGGATAAATTGGATTTAGTTCTACAAATTTTTATTCCCAACAGACGATTTTCAGGAGTTCGACGAGATGTATTTTTAAATGGGGTAAGTTGGTGCATGCAGACTTTTGGGGAACTTTTTATATCCAGCTTACTGCAATTCCAAAGAACACTCGTCACAAATGTTAATATTACTGTCTTTCATTTTAGTCCTACAATGATTACGTGAGGGAATTCCACAACATGGGACCACCACCACCATGGCAAGGAATGGTTTGTGTCTTGTTGAATTCAATTTTCCTCTGTAGAATATGGCTTTTTTAGCTCCAGTCTAGAGGAGCCTATCATACTCGATATGCACTCAATGCTTCCTTTTTCCTAAAATGTATCTTTGCTGTAACTATGTAAAATTTCTAGGGGGAAAATTATTTATATCAAGTATTTTCTAATTTACTTAGCTTTCAGCAATAGTCCAGCATTCTAGTAAGCAGTACATCAGCAGGGATCTGGCTTGGTTTGAACCTGCAAGAAACGGAAAGCACTGAGGAAATAGCAGAACCCTCCTTTAGCCTACACGAGAGGGTGTGATGGAATTTTGTATTCTGCTAAATAGTCATAGTAATTGGCTTTCTCTCAAACAGCAGATGCATCAAAGAGGTGGTCTTGCTGCAGAGGCTCATGGAATGGGATGGCATGCTCTAGTGTTGTGCAGTGGCTTGGTTTTGGCTATGGCAGTGAAGCATGCAGGAAAGTAGCAGAATGTACTGCACGCCATAATCAAAATAAGTCTTGCTGTATTGCAGCCTCCACTGAAATGCACTTTTTTCCCAGTCAGATGAGCATATTATACACATATCTACGGCTACATATATGGAAATAAACTGATAGTTCACTTGTACAGCTGTGGTTTTGCCATCATGTCAGGAGGAATAGTCATTATAGGTAGTTGTTTTGGTTAGATTTAGTAATTTCTGGCCCCGAGGGTCCTGATTTTGGGTAACTGTGATGAGCGTTTTGGCTCTTGTGAATGAGCAAAAGGCAGCACTGGATGTAAGAGATGCTACTATAGCCTCTCATTTTTCTCAGCTGAAATGCAGCTCTGGTTTGTTGTAACTGAAGTGATCAAAGTTGTCAGACTGGGAGGAAGACGGTTTTTCAAACAGATCTAAGCCTCCAGAAACTCCGGGTTTTTTTCTTTCTCCCCTCGTCCCCGTTCTGCATTCTGTCCAAGTAGTCAGCCTAAAATCCAGCACTTCCACCTACTTCCTTTGTGACAAAGGAAAAGGGAAAGAAAGGCCTTGCTGATTGAAGAAATGGAGGAGAACAGCCAAGAGATGTCTTTTTTAAAAAAAAAAAAAAAAAGCAAACCTATCTGCTGGCCTTTTGTCAAATAATTTGCCTTGCAGAGTAAGTTTGTTAATTTAAAATACAAATATATTTATAAGGGATGGCACATGAAGTAGTTTCTGTAAGAGTTTGCTGGTTTGGACGAAATTCACATTCCATATTGCATAGATTAAAAAAAACCAAAACACCACCACATTTAAGTAGCAGAAGTTCTATGTACAGTATCACTTTGAGGCAGATATGGAAAGAAGGTGACTTTGGGATTTGGGGAGGGTTTTGGCCAAACTTCTAAAGAAGCAATGGTAGAGAAGTAGTAAAGTATGCTGACTTAATGAGAAACAGGCTGCCATTCAGTTAAGATTTTGTGATTGGATATATTTAGATGTCATGTTTTCCATCTGAGTGGAAGTAACCTCTGCTCTTAATTCCCAGCAGTTGGCCTTGTGTGCATTCCTTTGTTTTGAAACGCTCAACAAACTTCCTGTAACTTTCTTGTAGCCACCGTATCCGGGTATGGAGCAGCCGCCACACCACCCTTACTATCAGCACCATGCACCTCCACCTCAAGCTCACCCTCCATACTCGGGACATCATCCTGTACCACATGAAGCACGATACAGAGACAAACGAGTAGTAAGTGTCCACAGACAGAGGGGGATGCAAGTCTGCAGGCCAGAGTAGGAATTTGGGGTACAGATGTAGCCTAACCTGAGGTTTGTTGACTTTGATAAACTGCATTTTTAAGACCTGTATTAGTTTTCCTTAGAAAGATGAGTTATTTAGATTGACTAGAGACTTCCAGTGTCTTTGAAAAGCCCCTCTCTCCCAGGTAATGTAGAAGTGCAAAATTCTCTGAACATACTCTTAAACTGAGCTGTGTGCTTAAAATGGCTTCCAGCTGTCTAGCTCTGAAGCTTTTCATGCTGAAGCTCAGTTTGAATAAGAACATGCTTGTAACATTGCGTGTGCTCATGCAAAACAAATTACCAGCAGAAAAGTTTGTGCTTTACAACTTTTTACAGGTACATCACAAAACAGGGCAGATTAAGTAATTTCTATTAGCTGGCTTTGAAGGCTGCTTAGCTTTCAGGTTTCTTGCTGGTATCTGGCATTTGAACTCCAGCTTCTGCACAGTGGAAGCACAGTCATGGTGCAGCTCCGAAGATGAAAGAACAACCTTGTGCTTATGGATGCTGGGCATAATTTTTTTTTTTTAATACTGAACTTTCACAAGAGTTACAGCCAATCGTATGGATAAGGGAAGGGAGGGGTTTTTAATCTGGGAGAGAAAATAAAGAGAGCTGTCCTTTTACCACAGCACGACTATGACATGAGAGTAGACGACTTTCTTCGCCGCACACAAGCAGTTGTCAGCGGTCGGAGAAGCAGGCCTCGGGAGAGGGACCGAGAGCGAGAACGGGACCGTCCTAGAGATAATAGAAGAGACAGAGAACGTGACAGAGGCCGTGATCGGGAAAGGGAGAGAGAAAGGATTTGTGACCGGGACAGAGACAGAGGTGAAAGAGGTAGATACCGAAGATAATCTGTCTGGAACCAGTGCTCACTTGAAACAAAAAAAGCTTGTATTTTTTGTGTGTTTACAAGTAGTACATTTATTTTCAACTGTCTACTTAAAGTTCGTTGTGTAGAAGGATTTATAATGACCCTCTCTATTCCAAGCATGCAGTGAACTATGAACTGGAAAAAACTCAAATTGGCCAAAAATAAAATACGCAAAGCTGACACTCAACTTCGCGTTTCTATTGGAGCAGAATGGGAAACAGCTAAGAATGTAGATACGGATTAATTCTCAGTAAGTGTTCATCTACTTAGTGACTTCATTCTAGGTTTTTGAATACTGATGGATAACTGCCTTTTTTTTTTTTTGCTTTGATGTTTTCTTCCTGTAGTTTCACATGGTTCAGTGGGAGAATGCTGCTATCAAGTATGCAAATATTGAAGTAATGATTTTTTTTTTTTTTTTACTGTATGGCAGTGTTGTAGCAGCCTTCTTTTCTCTCCCTCCCCACCCCCTTTTTTAACCCTATCTGTAAAGTCAAGTGTTTTTTCAGTCTTCAGTAATGAAAGCAATATTAAGAAGACACTATTGTTATCTGATTTTTAACCCTTTTTTAAAAATCTTCCCGTGTTCAGTAACATTTTGGTCAATTCTCTTGTCTAGTCTCCTTCCAAAATGTACACATTGCTTGGAATGTTCACAACCTGCGTGTGTGGAACCAGAAAACATTGCTGTATTCTACATTGCTACAATTTTTTTTTATAAAAATAAATTGTTAACTATTGAAATGATTAAAACTCCCGATCAGGTTTCTTGGTCTTCTAAGCTTGCCAGCTTTGATAGATTCTGGCAGTTCTAGGAAAGTATTTGTGTTCAAAAATAGTTTAAAAGTTTATTGAAATAGGTGAAATTGATCCGAAGCCTGAATTTAGGAAGAGGACTGCTGAAATAAAGGGGAATTGCTTTTCTGTTTCCACAGTGAAGTAGTCAACTTATAGCTCCTGCAACTAATCAGAGTTACTAAGGCCCTACATGTTCAACTTAATCAAGTGATCTTCAAGCTACTGAGAGGCTGTTCTTGGCCATAATCATACCTGTCTCCCAGAAGTGTATTAGTCCTGCAAGATCCAGACTCTTTC